TCGCCTCCTTTACATCCATATATATATATCTACGCATACACTCGTCGGTTAAGGTACTCCTAATCTAGCTCAGTTTCAATGTATTGCCGATTTGGTCGATAAACCTTCGTCTAGGGCGTCCCTTCCCGACCCTGCCGTTCACTTCTGCAACATAAATTTGCTTTGTCACTCTTTCCTCGTTCATTCTTTCTACATGACCAAACCACAGCCAACCAACCAGCTTAGAGAAAATAATATACAACTTCATTTCGTCAATTAGTTTGAAATTGCGTACTTTTTACGAAGGTACGTAATTCAATTTCCATCCATCGCTTCTGAATTTCGCATAGCATTGAATTCCAAAATACGTATAACAGGTGTACTTAGCTTAACCCTTAACCAGGCAACAAGGGTTTTATTGAGTGATATTTGTGAAATTTAGGAATTTGTTTAAATAAAAATAAAGAAACAAAACCATGATTTTTTTAATTACATTTTTTTTTTATAAAAAAGCCTGTGGTCCATATAAGTACCTTACCCTGTGTGGTAAACATGTTGTGGTCTCTATTGGTACCTTACCCTGAATCAATAGTAAAATTAAATTTCTTGAGTATTTATTTATTTTCTTTATTTGGATGAACATGTTACAAATGATGAGGCACATAGGGTAAATGAAACCTTTCAAAACATGGTGATATGCATAGTGGAACTTTGCATGAACTGCACTCTATTTTAGACCGCTTGGGATTAGTTCTAGTGCTGCAGAAACGGCAACGCCGTTTAGTTCCAGCTCGTGGCATGTGTACACCGACTTTGGCCAGTCGCACCTCATCCGAAATTTTGTAGACACCTCCTTTCTTATTTTTTAATATGGTGGAACATGCCTTGCGGGAACTAAAGTTGTTGACTAGGCCCCTGGCAACACGTAAACGAAATTGGCGATGACTACTATTGCGCATGACGTGTCCCTGGCTGTAGAGTATGTAGGCATTTATAAGAGCAGCTTCAAACAGGAACCAAAACAGGCGGAACCAGCTTTTCTTTGACTTGCGGCCTATAGAGTAAGAGCTCCTGAAGTGGTCAAAGCGATCAACTCCCCCCATATTTTTTACGTATTCTACAATGGCCAAAGGACAAAACATGTTTTTTTTGTTCCATCTTTCTGTTTGCGTTTTATGATTTGTACCCTTTTTGGATCAAATGCAGTAGTAGCAACATACACATCTTTAGTATCCATCCATTTGATTACTGATATAGGAGCAGCATGTTGAAACATAAATTCTCCTGGTTTTAGGCACATTTGGTCCTTGGTCCCCTCTTTACAGTTATTTCAGCTGGAAGGCCTTTTCGGTTGACTCGGATTGTACCCACAGCATATATATTTTTGTGATGGAGCATCTCCAGAAGAGGCAAACTAGTAAAAAAATTATCGAATGCCATTAATGTGTATGGTTGGACATTTCTACATAGATCCATTACCACTCTGTATCCAAGACCACCAGAATTTTCATCTGTTGAAGTGGCCTTACCTGTGTAAATATCAAATGAGTATAGGTATCCAGACTCAGAGTCACAGCGTGCCCAAATTTTGTACCCTCGTTTGATTGGTTTGTTTGGCATGTACTGTTTCATGCTACTTCGACCCTTGAACTTTACCATGCTCTCATCTATGCTTTGTGATGAAGATTGAGTACACATGCTTGAAAAATTATGGTTTAGAATTCCAATCAATGGTCTGATTTTAGCTAATTTATCATAATTTGAATCACTGCGTTCCAATTCAGTGTTTGGGTTGTTCACATGAAAGTTTTCTATTAGTTTTTTGTAACGTTTTAGGGTCATCACTCGGCTAATTACTGGGTTATTGTAAAAATCATCAGTGGACCAATAAAGCTCAACATCAGTCAATGGATTTAAGCCCATCATTATAATAACACCAAGCAAGGCACGAATTTCTTCATTATTTGTTCCTACCCAGTTTCTTGATTGATTTTTTATAGCATATAGATTAGTATTTTCCACCAGAATATCAATTATGTTTGATGTAAACATGTGTTCAAAGTAATCTATAGGCAAATGTCTGTTATTGTAAGAAGTGGTAGGTCTAGCTTTAGTTTCAAAGACTGGAAATGCTTGATTTTCAATATTAGTTGACCAAGATCTGTCTTTTTGGATCAATTGAGTATAGGTGACAATATCACTAACTGGAGGAGATAATGGTTGAACTGGAGATGGTGGTTGAACTGGATATGATGGTTGAACTAGAGATGGTGGTCGAAACGGAGATGGTTGTCGAACTGGAGATGATGGTTGAACTGGAGATGGTGGTGCAACAAAAATATTGGCAACTGTGCTAGTTGGTGTATTATAACCTTCAATCCCCAGGTCCTCAGGTTGTATTATTTGACTTTCTTGACCTGTTTCAGTTACAGGCTCAGCAGAGGAATGAGATGATGCTTCGTTTTTATTACTAAGTATATCTAGGAGCTCTTAAGTCACTACTGTTTATTATATTTTGTATCCTATCTAGCCTTTTGTTCAAGATGTCAGAAAAATCTTCATTTAATTCATCATCGTCAGTATCCTCACCTTCTGATGACAACAGGCTTTGAAGATGAGCTTCAATATCTTTGTCTTTCAGCGGCATGGGCTAAAAAACAAGAAAACTCATCAAAATATGTCTTACAAATCGAGGTGCGTAATGGACAATGATCATATATGGACCACATAATTCAAGCAATCGTTACAATAATAAAAATAATGTTAACGATAAACAAAATACATTTAGATTATGTAAAAACTCTCAAATATATGTTACTGAACACCAAACAATACTCACTGGATTTTTTTTAGGCATTTTCTACAACTTACTGCAACTAACACACAAAAACAATCATCTGTTGATCAAAAGTGAGAAATGTCAAATATTTTTTTCTTTTTTGTCTCTTAGGTGAGTTTCAATTTACTCCAACTGCTTTCAAGTCATAAAAAATATTATTGTCTATGACTGTTTGACATATTGTGGTCCTTGACTACATCTTGCCCTTTAAAATCACCCAAAAACTTAAGTGGTCCTCTATAGTACTTTGCCTGGTTAAGGGTTAATGCGTGACTGCGCGAGCATAGATGCCGGATATCGGATGGACTCTTAACTGCGATCTTAGTTCAGTTTTTTTGGATGCTAAGAAATGACAATAACCATTAATCGCTTATTTTTTTTTTAATTATCTGCTAATCTTGAAAAATTTGAAACTTACGTGTAGATTGATTTGATGTAATTCTTAACAGTAATTCCAAAATCAATATTTAAATAAATATTTTTTATAGTTTCATTCACGTTGTAGGGTAACAAACCTTTCACATCAAGTTAGTGTAAGGTAATTAAAATCAAGAACGATGGGCTTTTTAAATCTTTCTATTGTGTGATTGAATTATCGAATTCAGATTTCTTGTTGTCATCTTAAGATGCCACGGTCTTGTGGTGACGACGTAAGAGAACTATGGAAAATATTTTATCGACTATGGGAAAGGTCACAAAGACCTCATGGATTCCAGTACGCCACAAGTAAAATAAAATATCCAGACCGGCAATGGAGGGCAGTTTGAAGTTATGATAAGACTGGTTACGATAGCCAATTCGCCTTCTAAGTGTGACGATTACGGCAAATCTTTGATTATTACGTGGTAGAGCCATGCTGCAGCTATATTATGGTTGTAGCACGAATGGGTCGGCTCGTACGGGGAAGGACCACGCTCTCACAGAAAACCAGCGTAAAATAGCAGCTTAACGCTGCTGTGTTTCGTATGGTGAGTGTAGAGAACCGGAGACCCTTTTTACTGGCAAAGAGGCATTCCATCTTAGTCCTCACGGGTGACAACGCATGTCCATCTTGAGTCTTTATTGAGGATAGATGTAGATGTCTATGGGTCACAGTAACCACTTACCATCAGGTGGACTGTGTGCTCGTTTGTCACCCGATCCTATAAAAAAAAATACAATGAGAGGTCCATGGCCAACAGTGCAACGTTACGGACGGCTAAAAGTAGAAAAGAACTAGAAAGAAGATCTAACAATACGCAGCCTTGAACGTTCGACAGCGTTTCGTAATTAAAAGACAATGTTTAGCATCCAATCTGTCGTGCAACATTAAAAATGCTACACATCTCTAATTTAGTCAACTTCATGAATCGGTGACACAAAAGCTACGTATTTGATTGGACGCTGGGGGTAGGGGGTTCGATTTCCACACCACGAGTATTTTGATTAATTATTGTTCAAGGTAAATTAATTGCCCTGTAATTTGTTTGTTAACACCTTCGCATCTTTTTAAAAATGAGGAATTGTGAGTTGGAAGTGGAAATTAAATAATGGAGCAGTTTTATAAAATAACACAATTTTTTTGCAAATAAAAATCTTTCGATTGTGTATCTATTTATTATCTACATAATTAATGTTCTTTAGGATTTAATATCCATATATTTGAGCAAAATATATTGTAAAAATGTTGTCTTAAGTACACTTTTAAAAGGAAGGTAAATATTAATGAAATAAAACCTCTATTCCTTCGAAATTGTTTTTGACTAACCATTTATCCAATCTTGCTAACTGATATGATGCGCTTGCCAGTGATGTTTAATTCCATAAGTTAACCCCAGAATAGGTAAAGAGTGTTGAATGTAGAATAAATTATTAAAAAAAGAGTTCAAAGTTTTATTTTAACCTAAAATATTTAAGAAATGCATTTAAAATTATAAGACATCTGGTTTTATATTGAAGAAAAACAGAATTTATTACTGGTTATTACTTTTAACTATACCTAAATGCAGATTGTTACTTAAATGTCAATATTTTTTTAAATATCTATGCAAACAATTCTGTTAACAGTATTTTATTTGTGAAAAAGATGTCAAAACTAATAATGCAAAGCAAATAATCGTATTTCTCTTGCATACGTGTCGTATTAACGCAACCAAAACCTGCTGCAGAGCAGTTTCAAGGCCTCCTAGAATCTGTTGGATGATCAAACTGCGGAATCTGGTTCATCCCACGGCCACGGTGGACCAGAGTCGAGCGCATTCTGTCGCCAAAGAGTTCGGGAATTTTCTGACGTTCCATGGGCTAGTAGAAACATGTTGTATGGTTCTACCATATTTGAGATAGATGCACCGCTGTCCTGCCGTTCAATGTGTGTTGCCGTTTTTATAATTAATTTTTCTTCTCCCGATTTACATACCGGCAAGTGATCTAATTCGGCTGCACATTCGCGCGGTGATTCCAAGTCGGTGATATCCGATCGTGGCGAAAAATCTGTACTCGCAGTGACGTCTTGTAAGCTACGATCTCTGCAGTCTACTCTGATCGGTGTTTTTGTCGGCGACGTCGGGTAAGTCCTGGAGTGCGAGGAGGCGACAAGCGGGGAAGAGTTAGAACTGGACGATCGCGTCGAAGCGTCGCGTCGAATCTCCGAGACGCAGGCGACAGTCGTCGGCGAGCCGACGAGCGGCGCGGACTCGTCGTCGCTTCCGGCGTCCTCGCGCGACGGACTGCGTTCGCGCGAGCCGTTGCCGCGCGACATTATCTTGTCCTTGAACCGAGTCAGCCGTTCCGCGGAGCCGACCTTCTTCAATATTTCCGCCGTCCTCTTGAGGCTCCTGAGCTTGAGGTCGACGATCGGCGAGCCCGTTTTGGTGGAGTCGTCTACCGATTGGGAGCGCGTGGTGAGTCGGGCGTCGGTTTCGTGCGCTTCGTCGCCGGCCACGAGCAGCGACGAGGGCCGCGAGCGCGGCGCCTGCGCGTTGCCGTGCGCGCGGTACAGCACGGCGGGCCGCGGCGGCGCGCTGAACGTGATCTGGCCGTCGTCCCACTCCTCCTCGCGCTCCACGCTGAACGTGACGGCGGCCGGCTCGGCGTGGCGGCGCGTGCGGAAGCTGCTGCTCTTCAGGATGGAGGGGTCGCGGCCGGCGGCAGCAGCCGAGCCGCCCGCCCCGCTCCCCGCCCACGAGCCGCCGCTACGCGCCAAGCGCACCTGTTCCGCGCTCTCCTCCTCTGCAAGAAACGACCTTCTGTATCAAGCGGAGGGATTCGGGACGTGACTAGACGGATCGAGCCGGGAGTGTTCGGGGCGATTTGCTTTCATAATAAAGCGGAGCTAAAATAAAACTTCAAAATCCGTATCTAAATATTTTATTCCGTATCATCATTTTCAGTATTTTGGAATGATATCGACGTTAATTTTTTTCCTACGACTAATGGAACGTGTATGATATGATATGTAAGATTTCATATTAAAATTTAAAAATAAATATACGTTATTGGGCATACTACAATATTTATATCTACACAAAATGTAAAACTTTAACTAATTGTATCTGCGATATATAATTCACAGTTGAAAGGTCTTTTATATTATATCACATTAATAATAATTATAGTACAAATCAAAAATAATTATAATAATCGCCGCAATTTTAAAAAAGGAACATCATATGAAATAAGGTATGTCTACTTCTAATCCTAAAGTTGTTACGTAATTAAAAAATATTAACCTATTGGCACAGGAATTTCTACTTGCTTAAAATTACGTGTGCAGTTTCACAACCAAATAAGATTGCAAAGCCTAATAATTAATGTTTATTTAAAAATGTCAGTTGTAAAAGAAATGCTAATACTATAAGAACAATGATTAAATTAAATTCCTGTGAGGTATTAATAATAAAAATCTAAACTTTGGAGTCCATGTTCCGAAGATAATAATAAGTATGTATGTATGTACTTTAACAATTTAAGGAATTTATGCGCACAAGTAACTGCTAAGTACCAATAAATATTAAATAAACATTTGCCTATTGTGAGAAGCATGATAACCAACATTATGGCAGTTTATTCTAAAATCTATATCGATTGTGTGTAATTTAAGTACATAAACACTTTAAGCTACTAAAAAGTTTTAAGTGTTTTTTGGGAAAATTGTTGATATATTACAAAATTAGTGTAAGTACATTTTAAAGGTGATTTGTCGCTTACTGTTACAAATGAAATTAAAAAAATAAATAAAAAGATGACTAAGTTATTGTGTCGTGAACAACAAGCACTTTCTAAACTACTTAAACTATCATCAAATCGTGGCACTAATTCTACTGTAATTAAAAATCATATTTAAAAATCTTGTCTATTGCCAAGCTTATCAAAAGTTGAAATAAAAGCAAATAATTGCATCGTGCGAAGGAAAAGCCGACATCGAAGCGCATCAAAATCCCATTAGTTACAAAATTTATAAAGGGTATAAAATTGAAAGCTGCATTGTTATTGTGTATGTGAAAAAGCTGGGATTGCAGGTTATGTCACTGTCGTAATTTGTCCTCCACACGGTAACATGGTGTACATCAGTTGTTACTTATTTAGGTTTTATTAACGAATAATATTGTATTAATCGGCTATTATTTGTTTATAAAAATTACATTTGTTCAAAGTTTAATTTTGAATTTATATCTATGTAATCAAACAACATGGGTGATCAATTAAGTAGCTCATAATTCGCGGTACCACAACTGTACCGGACAATTAATAATAAATAATACAAAATCAAAATACGCTGAGTGAAAAAATTAACTAAAAAGAACAATCTAAAGAAAACATAAAACAAAACATGCGTTCCTTTCAAAAAAATGTTATTCGTTTTTTATCAAAAACGATATAAGGATTTTAAACGCTGCCAAAATTTAATAGGACCATAGGAATACATAGATTAAATTGCATTCCAATGAGGCTAGCGCATATAAATAAAGAGAAATTATTATATTCTTACACGGAACTTTATACACACGTACTATGGACATTTGAAATGTAGACAACCGGATTGATAGTACAATAATTAGATCACAGAAACACATCGTCGGCGACGTTGATGACAATATGTTCGCGCGGTTCGGCGTCGTCGCCGGAGGAGGTGTCGTCGCGTGCGGGCGCGGCGTGTGGCGGGGCGCGGGGGGGCGAGGCGGGGGGCGCGAGCTCGCGGGGGCGGGCGAGGGGGGGCTCACCTGGCGGCGCCGGCTCCGACTGCAGCACGTCCTCCAGCGCCTCCTCGTTCAGCGTCTGCAGCGCGCCGCAGATCATCTGCTCCTCCAGGGTCACCTGACATAAGCATTGGTTCACAGTTAATAGATTCCATGTTCGACTAGGCAAATTTAGTAGCACGACAATAGCTGATCATATGTCATACATGACACATGGAATAACTGAATCATGCATGACACATGGAATAATAAGATATCTCAAAAAACTACGACGGAATCTAAGTGCATGTGAAGTGCAAACGGTCTATCTCAACAGCACATGAGTAAAGAAACCGACCAGAGGGGAAGCTACATACAAAAGTCTTGCTGCGGGTACACCCACACATCACCGACAGGTTCACCGACGCTCCGTCGGGGTACAAACCGGTATGCGCCGGCTCAGAAATGACTGTTGTTCATGCGCATTGAAATAAATAGACGAATAACATGTCGTGATTTTATAGATCAATAAATTTATTAATTTTTTTTACAATTAGAGTTAAGTTTAGAGATTGTGTACTATAAAATAAGACATTATATATATTTATATTAGATAATTAGTGTTCGTATAAGCTAACTGCCTAAGTTGTACAGTATGTATGAAAATTTCGAGAGAAAATAATACAATAGCCAGACAGTGGTGGAGTTAGTGTTAGTGGTAGTAGTGCTGGTGATGGTGATGGTGGACGGTGATGCTGATCGTACGGTGTTGGTGGCGGTGGATGGTAGTGCTGATGGTGCTAGTAATGGTGTTAGTGATTGTGGTGGTGCTGGTAGTATCATTGGTGGTGGTGGTGGTGGACAGTGGACCACCACTGGCACCACCACCACGACCAGCATCACCACCACAGCCCTTACTACCGCCACCATCATGCTGGTGACCGCCACTGCCCACTACCATCATCACAGTCATTACTACTACCACCCGATTTTTTGTACTCATGAATACATTGTCTTCCGAAAATAATATTGATATATATATTTATATATGTAATGTGAAGCCAAGCATGAAAATAAGCAAAATATAAAATTTTTGTAGTTTCTATTTTAACTAGTGACCGACCGAAGATTCGGTATCGGTTTTGGCAACTTTGTGCAAAAAAATCTAGTTTCGGTAATAGTTTCGGTTTCAGCAAAAAATTTGTCGAACCTTCGGCGGCGCCGAAACTCAGTGTTCGTGGATTATCGTGCGTCGTTCGGATGAGTTCGTGATTCGTGTATTAGATATTCATAATTATACAGAAACAAAAACAGATTTTTCTTTAATTCAATATAGATTATAATTAATACTTATTGAAAGTCACTCTTTCGTTTAATTACCACTGGTTCGAAAAAAAACCTCTGTCCATGGAAGAACCAGCCAGAAACCCAGCGGGACTTTCTTTTAAATAACTGCTTACAGTCAGAGGCGTAGCGTGGACTAATATAAACGTGGGTGAAGTTGCATCAGCGAGGCCCCTTTTCTTCGTTCAACAACGAATAAAAAGTTTGACTATTTTTGATTTGATCAAATAGTGTTGCCATGTGAGCCAGTAATGGTGGCGCTCAACAACAATATCTACTTAATATGGATTAACCGCTTCTGATAATGTAAATTGCTAGTCTAAAGTAGCACAGAATATTAAGTTCAGAATCAAATAACGATATGTATAGTTTTAATCTGTTAATTCCTGCTGGACCACATAGGTCTCCCCCGGGACAAATTTGTAGACCCCGCCAAAGAGTATAGTAATGTTTAGAAGGGACCCCTAGGAACCAAAGAGTATATAATCACTACATTTACTTTGAAACGTAGACAATAGTACTCGGAACAACTGAACATTTCCTTTTTAAATGTTATTTATGAATTATACAACTAAAACTAAAAAAAATTATTAGAATTATTTTCGTTACTAAATTAAGCTTCTCTCAATTTAGAGAATGTTTTACAAATTACGAGCTGGCGCCTTTACATACGCGTCACGTTTACTTTATATACTTCAGTCTATTTCCTTCGCCGCATGAGTGTAAGAAGCAGCTACAAATAAAAAAAAATTAAGTGGGTACAAAAGAAAGTTTGTTGTTAGTTTTTCTATATAAAAGGTAAGTAATTACACTGTTTTTAAAGTTATTTGCTTATATTTTGTTTCGTAACAATTTTATACACTATGAAATTTGCATTTGAGTTATCCTATCACTATAAATCATGCAAAAACACAAATTTTCGTACTCCACAAAGTCCAATGTGAAAATTACGTTTTATGTTATAATTTCGATATATAGTGAATACTATCGCGAAGTTGTTTTCAACAAAAATGACGTTGGTCAAAGATAGCGTAATAAAGTATATGCCTATGATTGAATATTTTTTTAATTTTTTAGATGCTCCTACTGAGTATCTATTACTGAGTATATATTTATTTTCTCTATGAAAATCGAGTGTTTCTATGTCCTTGTTTCTTTCTTCACAGTAGATATTTGATTTTACCACATAGTTTAACCACTGAACTTGTTTACGCAACTTTCACAATTTTAAAAGTCACCATTATCAACCTAAAAGTCACGATGACTACTACGTTCAAAAATATCGTTGTTCCTTCGCACCGCCACCGTACTGTTTTTTCCGTTACTCCAGTCACTTATTAAACCAAGCAAAAAGAACTACGCGAACCTTGTTACTGTGTAACAAGGTACGTGTACCGTGTACTGCAACAGTACGACTGATAGTTAGGTGAAATTCGTATATTTCAAAAATAATAATCAGAATGGTATTTATAACATGGCCACGTAGCTTAGGTAAGGAAGGTAATAAAAAATCGACTACTGCAATAAAACCTAATACTAAATCTAAAATGCATATTTAAAGTAACGTTTTAAGTCGTTCCATTGTTCCAATTAGTTATCCAACGTTATCAACGTGAAAAAATCACAATTATTTTTTTATTGTGACTTTTTTGTAATCGGTCAGACCGATAGTCACGGTTATTTAAAAATAAAACTTTTCCCCAAGTCTAGTCGCCTATTAGGACACCCCCGGAATGATATGAATATTTGACGGCTCCGTGGCGCAGTGGCTTAGCAATGAGTTGCTGCGCTGGGGGCCGCGGGTTCGAATCCCGCACGGAACAAGTATTTGTATGGCCTACAAATAATTGTCCCGGGTCTGGATGTTTGTCCTTGTGCAATTTGTGTTTGTAAACTGCCTCCACGATACAGGAGAAAATCCTAGTGTGGGGGTAACGTTTTTAAAAAAAAAATGCAATTTGTGTTTGTAAACTGCCTCCACGATACAGGAGAAAATCCTAGTGTGGGGGTAACGTTTTTAAAAAAAAAAATATTCATACACCGCCACTACGCTGTAATCAATAATTTAACAAAACATTTTATTTATCGACGTCTTACAATCACCGTTTCTTTGGCGCTCACTTGACCTTCACACAAATAATTAGATATTTTAATGTTGATATTTTTTTTATTCTTGGACTAAGTTATATTTACCTTCATTTAAAAAAATGTCCTTGGCCTGAAAGGATTTTGTTTTGCCTTTTTAAACGCGTAACGCGTTGTAGATTTAGAAAGTGTAAGTGTAATTCGGACGTGTACTTCTAAGACTCAGAATGCACTTTGTAAGTCTCACCTCTAGCACGAACAGATTAAAATAGTAGGTAGTACTCTCATCAAAAAATCATATATTTTTACAAAATATAAAGAATAGCGAAATTAGCACGTATTTGAATGAAGTAACCTCAAACACTTATAAAGATTAGTTTAAAGTCTTACATTCACATCGACGAAGTTGCAGTACCTAACAAAAAGTGATAATTTCCTTAACAACTTTACTTTATTTTAATATCTTAGTGGAAAAAGATTATTAAATATAAAATACTTTTATAAAATATATTTTTTCATTATACTTTTTTTTTAATTAATAGAAAAACGGTATTGAAACACTTAACACAAGCATCAGTTTCATTAATTAGTGTTTCCAATTAATATTAACGTGTTTTTATTCACATATGAGTGCGTTATACAAATAATACAGTAGATTTAATCAGAGCGGGTTGTGTGACGCTTGGCGTTCGAGGTGAGCAATATTAAAGCATTAATTTCTGTTAAGTCTATTTTAGTTCTGTTAGTTCTATGGTACTAAAGCCTTTTCAAAAACAATCTTGATTGAAAGGCTACGAGTTGTCGAGCCTACGAGCGAGTGAATCAGAATACAGCACGTAGGTACGGTTCAGAAGGAATATCAGTATGTAGTTCTTCAATGTAGTACGGGCTAAAAGCCATCAGGATTTCTGATTTGGCCACGAGTATGTCGGAGCATTGGTTCATTCATTTTATTCATTAGATTCATTCTATGGGATTCTTCATTAGATGGGATCTCTCTAGTCTGTCAGTCTAGTGTAGTGTCAGTGTAGTATTGTCACTCGGCAATCTTTGAGGGTTTCATATTCCAGACATAATTAAATAGTTGCCGTTTAGTTGTCAGAATTAAATAAATCTCTTTCTTGTAAATTCGTCTTAAATTAAGTCCATTTTTGTTGGGGCTACTCCTGGAAGAAGAAATATATATAAAGGTCTTTCTTGTCCATGAAATCAACCAATTGTTGCACCCAATTCCAAAGTTTCACAATCTCAGATTGTCTTACCTGTACTTGTACCTACGATGGGAGGTCAAAAAGTTCGCGGAATGACAGGGTTGGCGAGGGTGAGTTTACTCATTCAGATAGCCGCTAGTTGAGTGACACATTGTTAGTATATATACCAAGTTTCAGCCTAAGCGGGCCATTATCTTTCGACTTATCTACGAGTAAATAAGTCAATCGGGAAGAAACTTGCCACTATGGAGAAAATTAAATATCGCGCTGTCATTAATTTTTTCACCAAACAAGGAAAGACACCTCAAACCATTTTTCAAGAGATGTCAGCTGTTTATGGGGACACCGCTCCTGGGAAAACCATGATTTATAAATGGCACGCCCTTTTCAACGAACAAGGGAGGGAATACATTGAAATAGAACCCCGATCTTGACGGCCAATTGAGGCTACCACGCCAGAAATAATCGAAAAAATTGAAAAACTTGTATCGGAAGATGCCCGGCTAAAGAAAAATAGCTTGCAGCATTAGTTGGAGTATCAGAAACAACCATTTAAAATATGCTATATCAACACCTTGACATGACTAAAGTCTGTGCAAGATGGGTTCGGAGAATGCTTTCTGCGCATCAAAAACACGAGCGCGTCAAAAGTTGTCGCGAGTGGGAAGTTATGGCCCGGATTGTAACTGGTGATGAAACTTTGGTTCACCATTATAAAACTAAGTCAAAGCAAGAGTCGATGTAGTGGCATAAAAATGCCATGACCCCTCCTAAGAAGTATAAGGTGTCTCAATCGGCCGAAACGATCATGGCGACGATCTTTTGGAATACAGAAGGTATCCTTTTGATTGATTATAACGAACGTGGTGTTTCCATAACGGGAAAATACTACGCTTCTTTATTAGAATAATTAAAAGAAGCTATTAAAGAAAAAAGGTGAGGAAAGCTTACAAAAGGCGTGCTCCTTTTGCACGACAAAAGCCATGTTGTAACGGCTGCCATTCACCGGTGCGGTTTTGAACAACTGCGCCACCCACCCTACAACCCAGACCTGGCCCTAAGTTATTTGTTTCCGAAAATGAAGAAAGAAATACGTGGGAAAAAAAATTTCGACAATGATGAAGTGAAGTCTGTAATTTCGGCCTATTTTGACGCCCAAGACAAATCTTTTTTTTTTAGACGGTATTAATAAGTTATTTGACATATCTAATAAATATATTAGGGTTAAGGTAGAATACATTGAATAGGAAAAATATTGAAATGTTTCATTTCATTAATCTTCCCTGACATTCCGCGAAATTTTTAATCTCCCCTCGTAGTTCATTAAAGTCACCTATTAACAAAGTGTAGTGTTCGACCGAAACTGGCTTCGGGTTCTGCCATCTTCGGGCAAAAAACCATCTTCGGTGAAACCTTCGACCGCAGCCAAAATGGCCCGAAGTTTTGGCCGAAGCTGAAGGTTTCTAGCAAGCGCAGTAATTAAATAAAGTGCTACGAATGAGCGAGAGCGCGATACACGTGACCACGCAATTTTTATCATCTATAGATCAATTACTAGAGTTACCTTGTTACATTAAACGATCAATATAAACCTTTAATTTAAGTTTTAAAATCATTTATATTACTAATTTTAGACAATCTTAAACTAAATTTCTAAGGATTTTTAATGAACCTTCGGCTTCGACTTCGGTTTCGACCGAAGGTCGTGATGATAGCAGACTAATCGACTAGGGCTTCGGCTTCGGCATCGGCCAGATATCGACCTTCGGTCAGACATTAGTCATAAATAAGGCCTGGGAGAAATGTATTGCTCTTGAGATATCCTGCTGTGGTGGTTGAGGTATCCTTCCGAATTCAGATAATTGTGTAAGTATAACATGTACATATTTTCTTCCAGCTTCAGAATTCTCGCGTCTGAGCTCAATGTGCGTGCCTAGAGCGTTCGCATTTTTGTTCACGTTTGTAGTTCGTTCAGGTCCCAATCGTTCTTGGTGGCAACCGAATCTACGATGGAGATTCGTCGCACCCCCTTATTTTATTGACGAAAAAGATCACATGATTCGACATTCGTTTTAGTATAGCTTTGTAGATTAGATTTAAAAAAGAATAATAACCATAGAATTGATTACGGAGTAAACGCTTTGGTATGTTATGTTATTGATATGTTAAGATTATTCTATTTTCCATTTAAATATAAGATAAACTTTTTATATAACTTGCATATAGATACAAAAAAGTTTATCTTAAAAAAAGGGTTTACCTTATCTATATATCTATCTATATATATATATATATAACTATTATCGTGAACGCGGACTCAATGCCATGATCAAATGTTATACAACAAAAGAAAATATCATAAAAAAAGAGAATAAAAAAAAATCATGAAAACATGACAATGTTTCAAAGAGAGATTGGTTTCTGATGATGTTTGTGTTGTTAGCCTTTTGGCTTTTACACCTTCATCGGACTCAAGTTTCAAAGAGTGCTTTGTATGATTTGTGGTCGAATTTAATTAGAACAATTTCATGGTTTAATGAATTTTCTTAATTTCTAGGACCCTAAAGTTAAGGGCCCTATTACCTAAATTAGGGACCCTATTACTAAACCTCCGCTGTCCATCCGTCCGTCTGTCTGTCAGCGGGCTAAATCTCATGATCCGTAATAGGTAGGCAGTTGAAATTTTCACAGAATGTGTATTTCTGTTGCCGCTATAACAACAAAAAATAAAAATACCTATAGCTAATTTTTACCTACATAGTATTAAATCTTGTAAGATGATACGGAACCGTTCGTGCGCAAGTCCGACTCGCACTTGGCCGGTTTTATTTATCTATAGACCAATCTTAGTTTTTGTTTACTTAATGTGGATGTGTAAGAATGGTTACACTGGTTCTTATACTAAATTGTCATAGTTCTTATTGTTGTGCGCCACGTTTAATACATGGTACATGGCGACACTAGTTACCACTAGCGCCCCTTAGTATCGAGTAACAGAACTACGAGAGTCAAGAACATTCTAGAAGTTTCTATAGTAGAAGGTTCTGGAACCTAACTGAGACCCTATATAAGGCCGGTATAGACCCCGACCGAGGCACTATTGAATTGGCGATACATGCGAAAACTTCGAAGCGATATAACTGCAAACTAAAGTGATCAGTAGTACAATTGTGTTTTATTACTAGTCTGGTTTAAGTTGTAATTATTGCTCTGTAATTAAAGTGTCAATTTTGGTAATTTAATCGTTAGTTTTTACTGTCTCGAACCCCAAGCTCGGAACATTATGTTTAACCTGGTTTTTATGTTCTGTGGATAAAAACGTTTAAAATTTATATACTTAGTTTTGTAAATTCAGTAACTTTTTTTTTAAAAACATTAATCATGGTCGAGGCTACATTAATTAGACTAAGATTAAATGCAAATAAATCAGAGGATTTATCCAAGTCTCTTCTACGGCTTCGTGGGTGGCTTAACAATGAGTTGAAACATGTATTTCTATGACCTACAAATAATTATTCTGGGTCTGGATCTTAGTCCTTGTGAAATCTGTGTATGTAAACTGCCCCCGCGATACAGGAGAAAATCCTAGTGTGGAAGTAACGTTTTTTTTAAAGAAAGAGATTCTATTTATATACTTTAACAGATAAAAATGATTATGAAAATGAAAAGATATAGTATAACACAAATACTATTTAGATACAATCGTGCAATTGATCAACACTATTTTTGTACCAAAACACTATTCACTCATAATTACCTGATAGTCCGTATATGGCTGCAACACGTATGAATAGTTAAGTGATATGAATTTACAAATAACAAGCCATAAAAAATTCTGATATTTTAGTTTTTTTTTCACATACAGAATTATGTTACATTAGAAAAAAAAACTTTTTATTGATTCAAAAATAAAATCTTTAATAGTTCATTAATTACCTGCTTTTCAACATTAGATGGACGACTGCGCTGATGTTCTAACACGGATCGTGGTTTCACCGGTTCCGTTTCCGTGTCAGTAGATTTCTCAGGAATTACTGAAAAATACATTGCGTCTGAGCATATTATAATGCTAAAAGTTAAAGTATTGTAACATATATGCCCTAAAAATATTAATAAAGGTTTTAATTAAAAAAAATATATATATTTATACATTATTAGATGTCAGTTATATATATATATATATATAATATATATATATATATATATATATATATATATATATATATATATATATATATATATATATATATATATATAACTGACATCTAATAAAGTTTCCCGGCGTGTAGGAATATGTATTCCAAATTCAGTCTTTGTTCTCTAATGGATTTTAAAATTCATAACACTGTTAGAAAGTTGTAGGTAATGTTACGAGCCTCAGCGGTTCAATGGTAGCCGTTCTACTGTTCAGAGGACCAGGCAGCGATCGATATAAGACAGGATCAATTGAGATGAGGCTACAGTACAAAAAAAATCGTACAAAAAATGCATGAAAGCACAGAGCCACGAAATGACCGCTTCTTAGTGAGCTAATAGCTAAGTAATCTAGAAGCTACATATACATTTGAGCAAGTGGACCAAATTAATATGTGGACGGTCAGGATAGCACTTTACGCTGCTAATGCGCAGTTATCACCCGGCTTGCTACTTAAACTGTGTAAAACTGTGTATCGTGGACATAAGAAGAATAGAGTAGCGTCTTACTCCCAGATGAAGCCCAGATCTTGATATTTGATAAATATGACCGTCGGAAAATGCTTCGAAAAGCAGGAGAGCGCTTTGCAGAGAAATATTTTGAAGAATTAATCCTCTATAGTGGAGACTCCATAATAATTTTGGCAGCCGTCTATGATGTAGATCATACGGAGTTAGTTCTTATTGCAAATGGTATAGGTATCTGTGTGCATTCAGAATACCATTTGCAATAAGAACTAACCTAATGCACTGGAAAGAAATCCATTTTATTATATATACTATAACGCTCAGGCGCACCGTTCTGGAAATGTTATGCGTACATGTAGGAGCAAGTGGATCAGCAAGCTGAAGTGGCAATGAGCCTGACATACAGCTCGAATAACCGATAGCCGATGGGGAAGAAAGGTCGTTGCAGCCTCGTACCAGTAAGGAAAGTGCTGGACGGCTCCAAACTAGATACGAGTGACGACCTGGTAAGACATGCGGGAAGTCGATGGATGCACAGGAGCATGTATTGTGACTTTTCTTGGGAAAAGCCTATGTTCATCAGTGGAATTATGGAGGGTTGTAATGAAAAATAATTTATGTAATATATAGTTTACCTTGCACTGCGGGGGTATGGAGAGGCAATCCAGCTTCCAGTTCTCGAAGGTTTGTAATGAGCAACTTGAATAATTCCCAGTCACCGAATGGCAAGTCTAGAATCTGTAAATCAAAGGAAAGTTTTATGAAATAGGTGTGTATTAAAAAAAGTTTCTATAATATTTATTATCTATTTCGGTTTCTTGGACCAAAGATTTTTAGGAATATGAGTTTAATTAGGCATTTTTGCCTAGCGGACTGTTATTTGGATGCCACGATGTCACGATGCGTCTTGTAGAAAGTGGAAAAATAATAAAACGAGAAAGGCGGAGAAGGGTGTCATTCTAGTGCGGAATAGAGTGCGGCCGGCATCTGCGTCACTTCGTCAGGCGACCACGACATGCGGCTGTGATATTGTACGAGTTCGCACGTCATGTACTTTAAATAAATTTAAAATACAAAACAGAAAGATAAAGAACAAATTCAGAGTATGACTAGTTTTTCTAAACTGACGTAATTCATATTATAGTGTTCGGTATTTATCAAACTGAAGCCTGTCTTTGTTTAAGGCCCGCCACATACATACGGAATTCCGAAATTTCGGAATTCCGAACGGGTCGGCCACATACATACGGAATCCAGTTTTGCCCGCAAAATTTCGAACGGAAAACTACTGTACGTGTGTGACGGGTCATAGATTTTATATGGACTTGCTTCACCGTAGTTCTGGGATTGACGACAAAGAGTATAGTGAACGCGATTGCGAAAGGATGGGAGGTCCCCTCAAAACTGGACAGGACACATCATTTTCTTTCTATACGCGGAATTAAGCAAATTAGTTTATAACAACCCCATTAATTATGTTCGATCCCGTGGACCGTACAAATAAACAAGTCTCGATGTCTGGTGGTGTCTAGTATATTGTGTATATTACTTGAATATATCGTCATGTCTATGGCAAATTTGCGAATCTGTCATTGTCGCTTAATACTGTTTATTGACCTAATTCGACCTCAATGTAATAATACATACTGTGGAAAAGTTTCACATCTGTATCTATAATAGGTTATGATATATTTTATCAAATTTTTTTGTAAATGCGCAAGTCACAGTTGTTTCTATTACATTGAGGTTGAATTATGCCAATAAACAGTATTAAACGAAAATGACAGATTCGATTCGATTCAAGTTTGCCATAGACATGACGTATATATGAATAAAACTAACTGTGTCCCGCGGTTTCACCCGCGTCATCACGTGTCGGAGGTGCGCGACATGACCTAGTTCAAGCATTTTATAATTGCAATTAAATATTTTATTTGATAGCAATAGATGGAAAAATTTACATAATTAATGGAGTACTTTTATCTGTCGGCATATTATGTATGATGTAGAGCGAAGTTAAGTTTTATCCACTTTCCCTCCCCCTCCCGGTTGAGCAATTCTCGCGGTTCTCATCGGGCGGCTAGGGTTTATTTGTCGTTCGCGCGCCCAGCCAAGTATTGAATTATTTTAATTTTACATTATCTCTTAAACTATGCGTCCAAATAACATGGTATAAAGAACAAAGTCTATCATCATAAAATTGTCTTTATGATGAAGTAACTTTCGTTCGTAAGGATAAATAGGCCACGCCTAATAATAACGCTCATAAATCACTTTTAAATTTTCAATATTTTTTTGTCACAAAATACCTAATTATGGCTTATGTATAAGAAATAGACATATGGTATTGCGGACTTTTTTTTAGACGGAGTAAAGATCTATATTTTTCTAGAACATTGTATTTACGTATCCCTAACGATAACACCAGCATACGCAGATAAATCATTTCGGGAGTGCTTTTTCTATTGACTTGCTTAACAAATATCTATATTTAAGACTAGCTGAGTAATATAGCTTAGTTCTAGACACATGAATCAGGCTATAATATACAAAAAGAATTTTTCAAATCGGACTGGTAGTTCCAGAGATTAGCGCGTTTAAACAAACAAAAAAAAAACTCTTCCGCTTTATTATATTATATAATATCATTGAGTTATATGTACTACGTACTAGAGAAGCCATTCCAAACAAAAATTGTGTCCTACTCTATGTCTTCGCGCATGCGCGGGAGTAGTAGTCGCGCATGCGCGAAGACTAATTTGATATAAAATAAGATATTACCTAATATAAAATAAATATAAGAATTTAATATAAAATATCTTAATTTAATCTAAACAAATAAGTAAATTATATTTCTAAATAATTATTTTATGGAATTCATAAATCTTCAATTTACGCAATATTTGGTTTGTATCGATTGCACTACAGTTCAGTTGAACATAGTCAATGTTCGGAATGGCTTCTCTAGTACGTAGTACATATAACTCAATGTATAATATAAGTATAAGTATAGATAAATATGTTGTAGTGGTGTGGTGTCGTGTGCGCGTGCGAGTGTGCGTCTGTCTGACCGGCTTGAGTTCGTCGAGGCGGCAGGTGGCGAGCACGAGGCCGTTGACGTGGTGGTGCTGCAGCGCGCGCGCCGCGACCGCGCCCGCCGCACCCAGCGCCGCGCGCACCAGCGAGCCCGCGCGCTCCACACTCAGCGACGACAGCCGCACCGCACCCACCTCGCCCTGACAAACACCGCACACAATATACATTCTATATAATCTAATAATTTCACAAAATAACAATAATCTTCATATATAAAAATTACGTGTCACATTGTTTGTCCGCGATAAACTCCTAAACCACTGAATGATTACAATAACATTTGTGCACACCGCGTGCAGTTTGGTCCAACTTGAGAGATAGGATAGTTTTTATCCCGATAGGTGACATCTGTATTTTTTAATGCCAATTTAAGTATTTTCATAGTACAGAGGTTCGCCGCTAAGGGCAGTACAACGCCTGCCTGACCAGCTAGTAAAAACTATATTAACCTGGTGTATCAAGATATAAAAGGTATGTTAGGCAAAGAATTAGAAATTGAATTATTTTTAAATAGTAACAATAAACATATTTTATGTATTACTGAATATTGGTTGAAAGATTACAACTCCATATTTAATTTCAGTAATCACCAGGTAGTCAGTTGTTTCAATAGAGATACTAAATTACCTGGTGGCTCCTTAATATAAGCATATAATCCAGATCATGTAAAGAACGTAAATATATTGTGAGCCTCTCTATTGAGTGAACTTTAGAAATTGCATGTATTGAGCTTCAGTATTCAAGGTATGATACCCTTGAAAAAATTATGGATGAAGTTTAATTAAACTCAATAAACAGAATAAATATGCGGAGACTTTAATATCAATCTCTTGGAAGCTTCTTCCATCAGGTATCAATACATGCACAAAAAACAGGAAAATGAGAAAATTTTATTTGTTCCGATTAATGCAAAACGCTTGTAAAGATTAAGTAAAAAAACCTTCCACCACTTTCTTACAAGAACAACTCCGACTATTTATATGGAGTATTATTTATCCTTATCTATACAAATAAATAAAATTGAAGTGTCTGATTGTAATGTCAAAATTACAGCTTTTTACTAAATACATATGAAAGTATATACGGTACTAATAACAAAAACACAATTTTTAAAGTTTTTGTCTGTCTGTCTGTCCGTTTGTCTGTCTGTTTGTTCCGGCTAATGTCCGAAACGGCTGGACCGATTTTGACGGCATTTTCACTGGCAGATAGCTGGTGTCACAAGGAGTAACTTAGACTACTTTTGTTTTAGAAAAAGAATTAGGATTCCGCGCAAAAAATGAAAACCCCAAATAACACGCGGGCGATGTCGCGGGGAACAGCTAGTAAGCAATAAATTTAATAAAATATGTACTTCTAAAACATTCTCCAGTAACAGTCGCAAGGCATTTAATGAGTGGGCGACAGTAGGAATTCATAGGAGCAGACGAAGATTATATGAACTTTACCATGAAAGATCATATAATCTTTCCGATACTTCTAAAAGTATTCTCTAAAGAATGTCAAAAATTATTCTAAAATGTTTAAAAGAGTGCTTCACATTTAAACCTTTACATATTAGCAACAAAATTAAGACTGCTAAAAATAAAATTAAAATGATGTTAATAGCGAAACCGGTAAAGACAAAGTCGTAACACAAACTATTAATTGAAAATAATGAATTGACTAGAAATATTTCACTGATATTCCTATTTTAACAAAAGAGTCATTGAATACTTCTCCAACTGTCGCCGAGTCATTACTCAAACAGAATATTAATACTTGTTTAAAAGAATTTAGATTAGAAAAAGTATTCTCACAAGATATTGTAAAAAAAAACCCTTGATTTACATCAACCATTTATAGCTTTACAGAAAACTGCAGATTTATATGATATTTCAATCTGGTAGTACATTGGACCCTCTACCATTACCTACCATTTGTAAGTAAAATTTTTGAAAAAATTATTTTAGACCAATTGTAAAAAAAATAATAAAAATAAATTACTCCATAAAAATCGATTTGGTTTCACAAGGGGTCGCTCGACGACTGATACAGCTGTTGAGCTTATGAAATATATTTTCAATGCCTGGGAGAATTCACAAGATGCCTTAGGTATATTTTGTGATTTTTTCAAGGCTTTCGATTGTGTTCATTATGAGATATTAATAAGAAAACTACAACATAATGGTGTCAAAAACATTGTGCTTAGACTTATTATTTCATATTTAAATAACAGAACTCAAAAAGTCGTTATTAATTGTAAAGGTTCTTTCGGATCAGTAGTATGAATGGGCGTTCTTCAGGGCTTGATTCTTGGCCCATTCCTGTTCTTAGTCTATTTATATTGTAGGGGACAATAACGATATAGTATTATTTGCTAATAATACCACTTTAATTTCCAAACACAAACGACAATCAATTAATTTTAACAATGTAAATAATGGTCTATCGAAATTATTACATTGGTTTAACGCGAACAATTTGCTCTGAAGCGGCAATTAGACAAAATGTATTAAATTTACAAAACCTAGTGTTAAACCCAATGTGCAATTAAATGAGGAGGTGTTGAGTCTTGTGGATACCAATATTTTTATGTTATTACTATTAACGCGAAGCTTCAATTATATCATATATCTAAATTAGCAGGCAGACTTAGTTATGTGGCATATGATGCATATGCTGAAAGATTAGAATTCTCACTAACGTTGAGACAGCTAGATTAGTTTATTTTAGTTACTTATGGAATTTTGCTATGGGGTAATTCGACTGACATTGATTCTATATTTGTTTTGTTAAAGAGAGCCGTACGGGCTTAACAACAATAACATAACTTAAATTGTAAAGAGTCCCTTAGATAATTTTTTAAGAAATAAACTTATTAACTTTGGCATCACAATATATGTGGTAATTATACGTGGTAGAGCCATGCTGCAGGTGTATTAGTAGTATAGTTGAAGCACGAATGGGTCGGCTCGACAGGGGACGGACCACGCTCTCACAGAATACCAGCGTAAAATAGCAGCTTAACGCTGCTGTGTTTCGTATGGTGAGTGTAGAGAACCGGAGATCCTTTTTATTGGAAAGGAGGCATTCCATCTTAGTCCTCAACGCATTGGCATTTTGATGCGTAGTCGAGAATGGATGTAGATATCTATGCGCCACAACAACCACTTACCATCAGGTTTCTGTGTGCTCGTTTGTCATCCTTATCCTATAAAAAAATATTTATGAAAATGTAACGTACGTACATAAAAACATAAATAACTTTGATAAGAATAAAGACGTCGTAATTCTTTGATAAGAATACTTTAAACACTAGGAGCAAACACAAGCTTGTAATACCAGTTACTATACTCCACAGAATTAGCAATTCAATTATGGGGCAATGTATACGCTTTTACAACAAAATCTCAGAAAATGTACAAAATTTGTCAATAAACAAGCTTAAATGTTTTGTTAAAGAAAAATTGTACAAAAAGTGTTATTATAATATCAAAGAATACATAAATGAAAATAACCCCTGGCAATGTGATCGCCACTATGGTGGTTCTATTAAAATTCATTTAAAAATTGTACAAACAAAATTATAGTAAAGGGAAATAATTGTTTAAAAAAGTTCCGTTGGATTTCTTGCTAATTCTTCCCAGGACAAAGGTATTTTCCGAATCAGTGTTAAAGCTGAAGCTGTTAGTACAGAACTTTTAAATGACTCTAATGAATTAATGAATACTTGAAAAGTAACTAACTATATGTGGAAAATAATAACATGTAAGGTAGACTGAGGCAAGGGTGACAGTGGGGCAAGTGTGACAAATGTAAATTATGCGGCATAAATACGTTTTTTTGGTTAAATGCCATTTCTTGAACAACGCAGGAACTTTTATGCTATTGAAGATAGCTATACCGACAGTTAAGTACACAGCTTCAGATATTTTATCGACAGGCGTCATTGTTTTTAAACTACTTAAGAAAAGAAAAACCTTCAAGAAAAGAGCCTACTCCTTTTTAAAAGGCCGGCAACGCATCTGCAATTCCCCTGGTGTTGCAGTTGTTCATGGGCGGCGGTAGTCACTTACCATCATCAGGTGAGTCGCATGTTCGTTTGCCCCTTATTCTATATTAAAAAAAAACTGGCAAAAGCCCGCGCAATTTTAAGAGGCGAAATTTTTAAGTGTTCGATACGTCATTAAGTTATTTTAAAAAAGATATAAGGTGAGTGACAAAGAATAATATTGGTACTTATAGTGAAATATGTGTATGTGACCTGAAATCCACTATTCCTTGAAATACGGATACAGTTACACCTACCTCACCTAATATCTAACATCGGGGTAAGTGTGACAGTGTCACGCTTACCCCGATCATCTTGTATGAGAATATCGTAACTAGTGATGGCACAGCATATTGTTTTTAACTGACTCAAAAAAGGAAGATGCTGTTTACTTGTGTGTTTGTATGTATTTATATTTAAATATTTACTTTTATAATTATACTTAATAAACGAGCGAGCGAAGGAAGTGAGATCTCAGAGTCACGTTAAACGAATCGGTGTTAGTAGGTACTTGTGTTTGTATGTACATATGTCTGTATGATTTTGTATGTACGGTGATAACTTTTGAAAGATTCATCTGATTTCAATTAAATTTAAAATGTTCATATATAATACAAATAGAAAACTGGTAGTTTTTGAGATATGGAGGGATGTGTCAAAAGGGGTGGAAAATATCAGTTCATGGGGTATGCCTTTGGTTTAACTCAGCGAAAAGTTAGAGCTTTAGTTGGTCAATATGTTCATCGCAATGAAATCGATACTCCCTTCAAAGATGGGATTCCTGGAGACGAGTGATTAAGAACAAGGAACAAACTATCGATTAAAAAACCTCAAGCCGTCAAATCACTATATAAAAACAGTCACACTTACCCCATGCGTAGAAAAATCTATTGTTACACAAAAATAGACGTTCAAATCGCTCAAATAGATCATAAAATATATTTATATATATTGATAAAATATATTAGTATCATCTCATCAATTTTCTCTATAACTACAGATAACGGAATTATCTATATTAAACCCTTAAAGAGTAGAAGTATTTAAATGTTCATTTTAGTTTTGATTAATTTATGTCATACTTGCCTCGGGTGACTCTACCTAGATGTAAGTATCAAAAACAGACTTAGCATAATATAATTTTTTTACTATTATAAGCCAATTTATTATTCTGACAAAAGTACTAATCTTGTGAATCTATATTTTTTGTCGTTATGAACTGGTAAGAAAAAACTACCCAGTCCACCTGTTGATAAGTGGTTGTTGTAGGACTGCCTTGTTAGTCTCGTGGTCTTAAGCACTACTTCTGATCGTAAGGTTCCGGGTCCTAATCCTGGGTTTTAAAATTTTCAATAGCAGCTTGGTGGTATTTCATCCTTGTGACTCTAAAGAAGGCATATTAAGACGTTAGTTCTGCGCCTGATCTATCCATATTGCCGTACCATGGGACTATAAGAGGGTATGGAGAATGCACCTGTATTTACGCACAAATTTGTGCACTGTATTCTCACTTATGCAGATAGAGAGCTAGTCTCAGTCAAATTAGGCTGCCGTGACTGACATTCGCTCTAAAGAACATTATTATAGGACTGTAGCTCATAGACAACTACAAACAACTTCAAATAAATAAGGCTACACATGCGTTATCACCCCAGAGAAATAAAACGGAATGCCTCATAGTGTACTATGGCAAAGTTTTTCTCGCCGATTTCTCTTAAATCGAAAACCTTCGAATACTATATAAAAATTATCTTCGTTTCAGACGAGGACAGAAACGGAATACTCAGCTGCAAAACAAAAATCTGCAGGCAAATATTGTGCCTAATGTTTTATTTGACTGACTAATTTAATTCACTTAAACGAACCGTTGTCAGTTCAGCTGTTATTGGGAATTAAGAATTCGATTAAATAATAAACATGCGTACTAATCAGAGTTAATTAGCCTGCACATGCCATTAGAAGATGCATTTTGGTGGGTCGGTCAACAAAGTTTGAGTCATTATAAAATAAAAACTTAACCAATTGTAGATAAAGCAAATTATTAGATGAATAAACATACAATATTGTTTTAGTATAAATTTACGTAAATCACTGCTGTGACTATTGAGCCAAAATCGCAAAAATCAATGTGGCGCAAGAAATGTTATCTGACAAACAGTTCAGTATTATTTTTTATACAGTCAGTGTACGTCAATGATTTGATCCAAACATTGGAACCAAAACAACGTAACTTTATACATAATTTAAAAGCAATAATGTAGATTAGAATTTATTAGCTGGTAGGTTTTTTCTGCTAAGGAAAACGTCTGGGTAGTTACCACGCACTTACATATTTCTGCCGCTAAATATCAGTGCGTGCTCTACTACTACGTTCCGGCGTGAAGGGTATTGAAAGCCCGTATCATTACAGGCTGTGAGGCATTCCATCTTGGTCAGCAGAAACGACAACGCTTCTATAGATTTCTTGGTTTGAAGTTGGTTGCAGGTGTCTGTGTGCAACAGCAGACATTTACCATCAAGTGGACTGTAAGTTCTATTGTAACATAAGTTATATAAAAAAAGATTAACCTTTTTAGCAGGTCTTAATATAAAAAAAAATTGTCAAATGTTCATGTAAAAGACGCTCGTCACTATTGAAAAATATAATAAAATATTACATATAGTTAATTGTCCTAAATAGTACTTTTATTTTAAATTGTATTATAAATGCAATATTTTAAATACTAACCAGATTCGGGAAAGCAGTTTTTAGTAATGTGATGGGGTTGGCGGCTAGCGGTGCGCCGGTTTGTGGAATTTGTGGCATTTGTTGCATTTGTTGCATTTGTGGCATTTGTGGCAGTTGCGTGTACTGTGTGTTCGCCCAGCCCACCCACAGCGGCGGCGCCGGGTTCGAGCCTAGCGGCTGTCCGGCCGCCATCTTGTGCTGCAATGTACAGTGTATGATTGTAAACAAAAACAAATAGTTTTAGGTAGAAATTTATATTTACTAATTTACTCGATTAAAATAGTGTAGCTTCCTGTCATTTTGTGGTATCATTTAAACTAATTTCCGTTAAATATGAAGAAGAAATTAGAGTATGCAAAAAAAAAAACATAAACTTTATTGTTAAAAAAAAATGTTACCCGTTTGGTTTAAAATCCCGAAAAATTAAAGAATACTTTAATCATAGTTTTATAACAGAGTTGTTTACTTTTTTCCCGTGCAACAACTTGGAATGTGGATGACGCATGTTTTGTTGACCCCAAGGTAAAGTCGCCACTAGAGTTTCTTCTTCCGCTCCAGTCTGTAGCTGCTCTTCTGTAAAAAAAAAAATAGGAACACTAAATGAATACGTGAATTATAATATTAATGAGTATATAAATGTATTTTAGAAATTATTCATAATATGTGATCAAGTACCTGTAGACAATTTTGAAATTGTGCAAAATTACACTTCACTTACTACCAGAACTTAAGCACAGGATGTAATAATTAGTTCTATAATTTAAGTCAGTAGTTTTGCGAAACGTTAATACTCGTAAATGACTTGTTTTCTTGTAATAAGCTCGTAATAACGGGACTACTGTAGATGAGATTTTATTTTATTTTTAAATTAGCATAATTATTTATCGTGGTTTTAGACATGCTTAATTTGACCTGTTTCGTTAAAAGGATGAAGAAACACATACAACCATTTTGTTCTTTTTAAAAAAGGCAGGCAAAGACAGCTCAGGTTATTTTTGCTAGAGAGCGGTGCATACTTTACCGGCTTTTGATTTAATAGCTGGAAAAGGTCTGTAAGCCAAGAATATGACTTTTATACTATAATATGACAAACAAGTTACGGTCAATAAACACCTGCCACCAGTAGCGTACGCGAGATTTGACATAGGTCAAGCCCAATTTTCTGATGCTGACCTAGATATTTTATATCTGGCACAAATACAGGATCATTATATTACCATATATAGGAAGCCATATATTTTTATTTGCTGCGGCCGTCATTGGCCTGCATAGCGATTATGGTAAATCCCGTTTACTAGGATAATGATGCTGTGTTGTTCACCTTTGATGACTTTCTTGATGTAGGGGTCGAGGTTGATGGTGAAGGGCAGGAAGATCTTGAGGTCGGCGGCGGTGAGCGAGGCGCGATGGAAGGCGAGGAACACCTCCAGCTTGCGCTCGTCGCGGTCCAGCTCCTGCAGCGCGCCCGCCTCGCGCGCGCGCCCCAGCGCCGGCTTCACCCTGCGCGCGCACGCACACACACACACACATATAGATGTTACGTTATCTCACGAAGGCGGGCGAGCATTACTTGTACTTGTGATATTGAGTAGACACGCGTGCTTGTGTAACTGAAGGTAACGTTAGCCAGCCCATCATAATTGAACAAAATAATAAATTATTTTTAATCACTATTACAATGTGTACGAGGGGCGTATTCTCGATATTATCACAGAATAAATAATAGGAAAAGAACAGAAGGATCACTCTACTATCAAACTTGCGAGTTTAAACCTAGTTTAAACCCAGTCGCTAATGTTTATAATACTTTGCACACCTCGGATACGACCTTCGTTCAATTAGCTTACCGATTAAATCGTCGAAAAAAAATTAGCGGCGCGCGCGTATTATATCAAAATACACCTTTCGTCCGCGGGCGAGAGTTTGTATCACTTAGCCCAATGCGCACCTTTGTTAAGGCCGCTCCTACTGTAGGGTTAGGTGTTGTGAGAAAACAAATTGAATCCTTTGATATTAGTTGGTAGTAGAATACACCAACATTATTGTTCAATATGAGGAAGGTTAATATGCAACATTAAGAAAAAGTAACATTATAACAACGTGAACGGTACCTACTTTCTATTTTTAAAACCGCCTTCAAAAAAAGGAGTATGTACTCAATTCGCCTGAATTTTTTTAAAGTGTGTTACTTCAGAACTTTTTTTTAGGTGAACCGATTTCGATGATTCTTTTTTTATTTGAAAGCTGGTGCTTATAATTTATATATCCCATACAAATTTGATTAAAATCTGACCAGTGGTTTTAGAGTTATCCTTAATAATACGTATTATAATGCGTATTAATATTGAAGTCGGTTGTACAAAATATTTAATTTCATAACTTATCTCTCTTCCTCTCTTTTTAAAAAACGTTACCTCCACACAAGGATTTTTTTTCTTGTATCACGGAGGCAGTTTACATACACAGATTTCACAACAAGACAATTATTTGTAGGTCATACAAATACTTATTACGTGCGGGATTCGAACCCGCTGCGCTGCAACTCATTGTTAAGCTACTGCGCCACGAAGCCGCCACTTGTCTGTTTCACTTTTGTTGCTATTTACAATCATGCGACACGCGACAGCATTAATAATAAAAGAGTGGCAATGAGAAGTGCTTCTATATTCAAGCTCTTTTTTTTTATCGACCAAGTAAGTGTTTAACTTATTATGTATTATTATCTATTGTTACAACGAGTATATGCTGATCTTGCATTAGTTGGATGTCACTAGTACTGGGAGGTCTATTTACACTGAACGATGTTTAAGGTCATTGACATTATATGCTAATCAAATAACAAATCTGTGACTATGGCGTCAGTAACTAGGTACCTAATTATCTAAATCTACCTATAAATAATAATATCTTACCTTCCGATATCCTAAGGAATAGTAAAGAATGAAAAGTCGACATTCCAATTGTTATTTAAGCACCCGTATGCTATAAGTCGCGACACGTAAGTCTAGCGCTAAACGAAACATGGAGGGGATAGCTGCGCATGGGTACTGTCGCGCACGAATTGAATTGCACGCGTGCGACTCGATACGCACGAACCAATGAGCGCGTGCTAACGGCGCATGCCCGCTCCGCAACCGGCTTACTACCCCATGATGGCTTATTTTCGACTTATGCGCAATAACGATCACCCCTAGACTTTCGTGCCGCTACATATATGCAGTACCTTTTAGCTTTTTGCGTGGCTATACTTGAATAAAAACTCAAAAATAAATATCAAAAGTGCCAAAAAACTAATAATAAGAGCAAAATACTTATTTGTTAACGTAAGGTGCGTGTCAACTCGAGCGCGCGCGTGACTACTTCACTGAATCAGTCCCTTGTAGGGGGCCGCAGCGTAGGTATATTTTCATGCCAAAAGCGCGGGGTGAGACAGGCCTAGTAATAGGGTGATTTGCTAATAATGTGGGTAATTAAAAAACTCATTAGCTAACGATACTACCTGAGGGTATAAATATGAAATTACGTCTTGATAACTTCATAACTTCCTATTTAACCTTCAGTCATAGACGACGGAAATGACTGACTCGACAATGTTGAAAAAATCGAACACCGTGCGGTGATTAAATTCCCCAGTAAGCAAGGAAAAACTCAAAAAAACATCCATGCAGAAACGGTCGCCGTTTACTAAGACTCTGCTCCTTCAGTGTCAATCGTACAGAAGTGATCAAGTGAATTCAAAACAGGCAGAGAAAGCATCGAAGATGACCCCCGCCCGGGTGGGCCAATCACAGCGGCTACAGAAGAAAATGTGAAAATTATTGAAAAACTTGTATAAGAAGATGCACGAGTAAGAATTAAGATGTTAGCAGAAATAACTAAGCTATTCGTTGGTATCTACACGCTGGTATATTATACACACCATATTGCATAACAATCTCAACCTTACGAAAGTTAGTGCAAGAGGGGTGCCGTGAAAAGTTAGTGCGCTTCAAAAGCAGGCGCAGGTTTACTGTTGTAGAAAGTTTTTAGAGTTGTGTGGTAACGACCCAACAAGTGTTTTCGATAGGATAGTTACAGGAGATGAAACCACCATGACTATGACCCTAAGAGTAAACAGGAGTCTATGCAATGGACGAGCAGGCACAGTGTTTTGGAATTTCAAAGGAATTCTATTGATTGAGTACACAAAAAAAGGCGAAACCATCATCGCAGACAAATACTCAGCCACTTTACGCCGTTTGAGAGAAGCAATAAAAGAAAAGAGAAGAGGTAAGCTGACCAAGAGAGTGCTGCTTCTTCATGACAGCGCACCGGTTCACACGGCGCGGCTTTCCAAGGTTGCTGTACGAGATGCTGGTTTGAGGAAATTGGCCACCCACTAAACAGCCCGGATCTAGCCCCTAGGGACTACTTTTATTCCAAAACTTAAAAAATACCTTCGGGGAAAGCGATTTGCTGACGATAATGAGCTCAAGTCCCCTGTAAATGAGAATTTTTCAGGCCAAGACGAAGAATATTTTTTCAAGGGAATAGAAAAGCTTTTTTCACGAATAGGTAAATGTATTGATGTCATGGGAGACTATACTGAAAAATAAAAAAATATTTCATTTTTTTTTTCTAACGTACCTATACCGAGAACACATTGAAAGCCCCTCGTATCTGCATCTCTCACATGTAAAACTAACCAGCTATCGTGATATAACATATAAATAAAATGGGAACATCATCAATGTAGATAGTCGAAGTCAATTAAATACGCATTATTAAGGATAAGTAACATAAAAACTACTGGTCAGATCTTGATCAAATTTACATGGGACTACGTGAGAAGCACCAGCTTTCAAATGAAAAAACAGTCATCAAATCGGTTCACCTAAAAGAAAGTTATGAGGTAACATACATAAATGAAAATACAGAATTGAGAACCTCCTCCTTTATTTGAAGTCGGTTGAAAATACTACACGTCAGTAGTGGCACATGCGTACACTAGCGCACGTAACAACTTAGACCGATTTACCATACTTAAATTATTCGTATTTTAATATTATTAAAAGTATAATTATCTCCTTTAGAATAGTAAAAAAAAATACTAGAAACTGAAACATGAGATGAGCAGCAACATTTTTATGGTAACAACTCAATAATAATAATTGTAGCACGAATGCGTCGGCTCGACCGGGGAAGGACCACGCTCTCACAGAAAACCAGCGTAAAATAGCAGCTTAACGCTGCTGTGTTTCGTATGGTGAGTGTAGAGAACCGGAGACCCTTTTTACTGGAAAAGAGGCATTCCATCTTAGTCCTCACGGGTGACGACGCATCTGCATCTTGAGTCTTTATTGAGGATAGATGTAGATGTCTATGGGTTACAGTAGCCACTTACCATCAGGTGGACTGTGTGCTCGTTTGTCACCCGATCTTATAAAAAAAAACCCTAGTTGCACACCCGACTGTCAAGCCTAGCAACTATGGCAAATATCTCCCTGCGTGGCAATCTATATTGGAGGCCGATATTCATCAGTGGACTTTTGATGGCTTGTAAACAATCAATGTATAATATATATAATACTTTAAAAAAACTTATATAGGGTAAGCAGTTTAATGATTGGCACTTTAAGCGGATTTCTACTTGTAAGTGGTTAATTCTCGTAAATAAACAAATTTGTTATATTTTTTATTGTTTTGTTGGATTTTAGTTTAGATAGCCATAAATAAAATAACGCATTACGTTTAAAAAGAAATGTTTAATTAAGTTAAATATCTATGAAACTTTTTTCTAGGGAATGTTACAATCATTGGCACTTTAGCATAGTGAATGGCGCTGTAAATTAAGTATAATCATTGGCACCATTGGAAGTCTTAAAAAGTTATACCCAGATCTTTCTAAGCTCCATCTTATTGTTATAACACTTATTTTGAACAAATCTTCTTCAAACATATTCCTTAGATCTTCATCTGAAAGCGGTTTCGTTTATCTACCATGTTTTGTTCTTTCTTCGTATACATTTTTGATGTCACTTTTTGTAGTAAAACCTTTCGTATTTTTTCGATATTTTGTAGAAATAGAACTTTATTTCGGTATTTTAGATTAAAAATTTAGAGAGTATTATAATGTCAGAGTTTTTGGTTTCGTTCTTCTTGTTTTGTTTGTCAGTTTGTTTCTATATTTGGCTGACTAATTCAATTCTGCATTTTCCATTTGTGCCCCATTTTTTCATTATTTTTTTAGCCCCGCTGCTTCCGAATCTTCACTTGTTAGCACACAATAACGGCGTTGTTTACCTGCTTTTTGATTTTTGATACGTATTTGGCAATGGAAAAAGCTCTATAAATATTTTTAGGGCTTTCTAAAAGATTTTAGTTTATTTCGACATCCACAATCACCCATTCACCTCCAACACATTCTAAATTTGCTGCCTAGTTGATGAAAAACATAAGGGTTAGTTTTCTTTCTGATACTCAACAATAATCTCTGCAGGTTGTATACGCACTGGTAATAACTATAAAATATTAAGTGAAAGGATACAAGGCAAATTTGATACAGGTATTTCTGATTCAGTCGTTATTAGTCGTTGTTCTTAAAATATTAAGTAATTCGGCGTAATGGCAAGGAACGGTGATCATCTGAAATGGCTTGCAGTGATTTCGAGGGCACCGGACACTTTGTTTAATCCACTTTGTATGGACTAAATGGGCACAACCCACATGTCTCAAAACCACTTCATAATGTAGATTTATTTCAATACCGTAAAAGTCTTACAAATATAGGCCCGCATCTCTTTTAGTAACCTTTTTTGTCAAATTGTTTGTCCTTCATTCAAAGACAGGTTTACGCCACATAACTTTGATGGGCCGAAATGCAGTGATATCAGCTGATTGCAATAGTCACGTTGCATTCAGGTTAAGGGCTATAAGTATTATGGCGAGACTTGGGCAAAGTTGCGCCGTATTTAAGATAGTAAATAACCCTCTCTCTAGGCACTAACTTTTTAACGTCTGATCACATTTTCTATAGGGGGAAAATAATAGGTTTTACCGTCTACTCCAAAGAATAGTGATGCAAGATTTCGATTAGGCATGATCCACCTCATAGACATTTTATTCTCCCTCTATAAAACGGTTTAGTATGTATTTATGGGTGGGGTATTTATTCAAAAACCTCATTGATATTTTTATGACATCGAATACTGTGCCAGTACCAAGTCGGCTTTTCAGCTTGTTAGTTTTTTTTAGTTTACTTATTTAGTGGGAACTGTAAATTCGCGCGTGGAATGTTAAATGTTAGTGCAGCAGTTATTTTTCTCAAACGCCCTCTCTTAATAGCAGTATTCTTCATCAATTCAAAATATGAAAAAGTTCAGTCATAATCATTGGCACTACTCAAAGGATATAGTCATTGGCAGTGTCAAGAATATATTTTGGACAAAAGAAAGAAAGTATAGTGATTGACATATATGCCAATGATTATGTAGTCAAACAAAGTAAAGTATAGTCACTGGCACAATTTAAAAAAACCGATGCTTCTATTTCACGACGATAAAATAACGTTTAATATGCTTTAATGACGTTAATTGATTAAAATAGACAGAAACTTGCATATAAACTTACCTAGAAATCACATTTTTGTCTCAAAATCTAGCCACATAACCTTAACTTTTTGTTAAATTTTAACGGATTTGTCCGCACACATTTTTAAAACAGCCCTTATAGGAAAATAGTTGATGTTTTAAATATAAATGTGTATTGTTAGTATAAGTAATTATATATCTTAGCAATATCTGTGTAGCTGTGATATTTTTTTTAATAGGATAGGGGGCAAACGAGCATGCGGCTCACCTGATGGTAAGTGACTACCGCCGCACATGAACAACTGCAACACCAGGGAGGGAATTGCAGATGCGTTGCCGGCCTTTTAAAAAGGAGTACGCTCTTTTCTTGAAGGTCCCTAAGTCGTATCGGTCCGGAAAAATCGCTGATGGTAATCGATTCCACAAGGAAATCGTGCGAGGAAGAAAACATCTTCTAAATTCATAAACATTCTTAATATTCAGATTAAAATAGCAAAGTGCCAATCATTGTAGGAGTGCCAACATTAGTACTGTTTACCCTGTGTCCAAAAAATTAACTGAAATCGATCATGGTCGTGCCTTTAGATTCATGCCGGTAAGTATGGATAGGTAGGCTTTATGCCGAAATTACCACAGTGGAACACTTATCAAAGACTTCTTAGCGGTTAGCCACCGTAGAGTCTATATCACCTGAGGATGACTCGTGTAGAGGCGAAACACGTGTCGTATTATCGTCAGTGGTGTGTCTTGCCTAGTGTAGTGGTGTTGGGAGTAGCGGTGCTGGGATTAGTGGTGACGGGGATAGTGCACGCAATTGAGGGAGGGCGGGAGGTGCTTTTCATACAAGGTAAGACACATCATTTTATTTTATAACGCGGATATTTGCGAAGTAAATTTTTGTAAAAGCTTTTATATAATGGATTTCCGCAAAGTAATGCCTGATTCTATTAATATAATTGACAAACAAATATTGAATTTATTATTGTGGTTTTTTAGCACTGATGAGAACTTAATTTAAAACAATAGGGTTTAGGTAAGATATAAAAAGAGTAAACTATGTGTCGAAACTTACTTTTCAAAAATATGTTTCAACGACGTTGAATCGTCGATGTGTTCTTCATATGTTTCGTGATGGTAAATAATCCACGAAGTACGGAAAGGCCACTGTTCCGTCAAGTTGACCCACGATGCTAGTTGGTACCAGTTGAATTCTATTTGGAACGCCTTCAGCAATCGTCCTATACACAAAAACAGTTTCTGATCAGGGGATCATACATCTTATAATACACAAATGTGTAGAAATGAAAAATAATAACAATTATAATTGAATGACTTTAACGTGCTTAGAGATTCGGGACAAACATCTCTAAATCAATAGTCATTATACCGTGGAGAGTTCATTTTTAAGATAAATAACATTTTCTAAATGTTGAGGCATTCTTTTTTTCGACACGCGTAGTTAGTAGTGTACACAACCAACTAACCAGTGAATTACAGTACGTTCATGAGGCGGCGCATGTTGCGCGAGTCTATATCACCGATATGGGATCCTGCCTTCTCGCCGAAAATTGTTTGGCCGATTATTACTAGCCAACCAATGGTTCGCCTATTTTTCACTTTGACAACTAACGATTGTCAAATTTTTGAATGACAACGTTTCATTTAGTAGAATTATTGTTAAACTAATTATTATAATGACACAACACGTTTAGGGCACTTATCATTTGTCCAATCTTTCACTAGGCCCGACAACTTTTAGACGAATAACGTTTTGTCTGTGTAACAGTTCCCTTTTCGTACATTTATATTATGATAAAAAATAAACAAATTTTTTATTTTCATATCTTTTGGCGAAACCTTACACACATACTTTTTCGAAATCTAACACACATACTTTTGGTGCAAGATTAATACCGTGTTTCTTTGCCGTATTCAATTAATAGTTCAAACATTGTGTCATATGTGCGCTTATCTTTATTAGTGCCTACATATATTATAATACTTACCTACAGCGTAAAATAGCAGCATACGCTGCTATGTTTCGTATGGTGAGTGTAGAGAACTGGAGACCCTTTTTTACTGGAAACGAGGCATTCCATCTTAGTCCTCACGGGTGATAACGCATCTGCATTTTGATTCGTGATCGAGGATAGATGTAGATGTCTATGGGCCACAGCAACCACTTACCATCAGATGGACTGTGTGCTAGTTTGTCACCCTTATCCAATAAAAAAAAAACATTGTCATAAAAAATAAGTTTACGCTTACCCACATTATATTACATAGCTACTAAATGAAACCTTACTTAATACATCATTTGGTAAACAATATACGACTAAATGAATATTACTCTAACTGAAACATTCGCTACTTGAAAGTTGACTTTTTGAAAAGTTTAATTATAAAAGGCTGACCAAACGTACAGTTGGCAACTGTTAGGTTGGGAAATAAAACAAAATTATGTGATAAGTTGGCAAATGATTATTCGGCGAAATAAAGTTCTGCGAAACGTTAGTTGGCAAGTGATAATCTGCCAAACAATTTTCGGCGAAAAGGCAAAGATCCCACCGAAATAGGTATCACTAAAGCGTACTTGGCCGAGTATATAGGAATGCGAAATATGTAGTATATCGTGTAGTGCGTAGTGATAGTGCGTAGTAAACGGTTTGTACTGTGTAGTGTAGTACGACGTGTACGCCAGTGTACCAGTGATGTAGAGCACGTTCATGAGGCGGCGCATGCTGCGCGGGTTGACGTCGCTGAAGTAGTCGTCGGTGAGCAGCACGCGGCCCAGGTCGGCCGCGCCGGCGCTGGGCACGGCGCGGTGCAGGCCCGACGCCACGGACGACGCCAGCGAATCCGACGGCCGAAGGCGACGCACGCGGGCGCTCTCCTTGCTCGCCTGCCCCTTTATGCGCTCCTGGCTCGTCATCAGCTCCGACGTGGACGATAATCGTCGAGCCGATACCTGACCAATGTTGAAAATACTTTCAATTCACCGTTTGGGAACCTGATAGTATGAGAATCTTAAATAAATACGCGAGAGCATGTAAGAATATAAATCTTGTTTATATTCTTACATGCTCTTTGTATTAGGAATTCAAAGATCCCTATTATGAAGAGGACAGAGAAGTTTAATAAATTTCTTAAACAAATCAATTAGAAATTTTACTCACTGATCTCTGCAACGAAGTAGAAAAATCGTCAGCTGCAATGGACTGCATGCGCTTGGCGGCGGTCTGCTGGGCGGTTTTGACTCTGCGTAGCGCCGAATTTTGCAGGTAGAAGGGCAATTGCACCATGTTCCGTAAGTAATCCCACCCGCCTATGTTGCTCTCCGAGAACGCACGCTTGCTGTTTATTTCTACCGCCTGGTAATAATTTATTTATAAAAAGAATGAAAATCTCGATGAAATTCTAATTAAACAAAAAAACCAACACATATTACACAAATTTACAAGATTGCATAAATAGAGATGTATATAATAATGAATATCGTATCATATATAAAAGATTTGTAATGGTAATAAGCATGCAACCAAACATTCATCTATTAAATAAAGAATAACCCCAACTCTGTCGGATTTCAAAATGGCAGTTTAAGACTTCGATTGCTAAAACGTAGAGAAAAAGTTAAATAATTTGTAGTGTTATACTACTTACGTATCTTTTTACATTATTTTAAATTCATTTTTCCATTCTGTTTCGATTTTCTGCATTCACCTCAAAACTGGATATTTTACATCACCTTTATTTCCATAGGATCCTGTAACGATTTTAAACCATAAGAACACAATAACAAATCATTTCTACTTCGTATTTTCACATTATCAGCACTTTTAAATTGGTGTCAATGGAGTCTACCTTTTTTCGATCTTTTAGCTAGTTTTCCGTAACTCTACAATCTTGGACTTTGTGTGGGCAGTTGCGCTACCTTTTTTCCTATATCAATAATATCTCATTTTCCACTTAAATCTTATAGTTTTCTTATTATAAACCTAAAACAAAAATTTGACATGTTTTGTCTTTCTTATTTAAATCGTTTCCATGGTAATTATATTCAAATTTGCTACCGATCTATTATTCCTATTTCGATAATTCCACATAAATCCTCTTTTCTCTTGACCATTTACAAAAAATTTGCGTATAATTTAAATAATTTTTCCGTTCTCTCTAGAAAGGTATAAAAGCCGAACAATCGGTGAAGAAAGGCAGTCTCGCTTCAGTTCGCGAATTAGAAGTATCTACTAAAGGCCTTATCCCGGGGCCGCACTGCCCCGGGATCCTGCAAGCCTCCATTTACACGTGAAGTCTTCGGCGAAGCCTTCTTCAAACTCGGGCCGCGCCACTCCGGAATCCTACAAGCCTCCATCTACCTCGGAAGTCGCTTCGAGTCTACTACAAGCGCGGGGGCCACACTACTCCGGGCACTACTACTACTTACTCCAGGCGCCGAGTGCACCTACCGCCGGCGCTACCTTTGGGCGCTGCAACTGCTAGCTCTAAGCGTTGCGCGCCCCTTCTCCAGGCGCTACGTGCGCCGGCTCCGGACGCTGCGTGTACTGGCTCCAGGCGCTGCGCGCCGTCGCTGCTAAGAAACCTACCTCTACAAGCGCAAACGGCGTGTGCTGTGCTGGCTTCAGGCGCTGCGTGCCGTCGCTGCTAAGAAACCTACTTCTACAAACGCAACGTGTGTCGCTTCAACTTTTAGGCCCCACTACAACACTATATTCCCCTATTCTCTCACCTTTATTTTTTTTATAATCTAATTGTATTCTCACTTCATCCATCATCATCCTCACATCATTTTTTTTATAAAATTGTAAATACCTTTTATAAATTTAAATATATTGTTTTTCTGGCTCTACTTTTGTTGTTTTGTTGTACTTAGGTTAGGTTCTATATTTTTTTTATTTTTTTTAATTGTCGCTTCACGACATTTGGCGCCCAACGTAAAAGTCCTCTTTCTCTCTTAATTCTTCACCTATACTGCGCCTTGTCCATTCCCTTTTGATTTAATTGCTCTCCCTTTCGTTCTTAACTCATTATTCATCATTCATTTATTCATCCTTTTCATACCTTCCAAATACTCCAAGGAACAAGATTTTAATCGTCCATTCGTTAATGTCAAAATTTATAACTTAACTTTATCTGGTTTACTAGATTCTGGCAGTTCAGTAACTATTCTGGGTAATAATTCTCATTTGGAAATTCTTAAACTGGGCTGCAAACTTTTCAAGTCAGATCTTATTACTGTCTCTACTGCTAATAATCAAAAAGTTAATTCCTTGGGTTATTTTGACTTACCTATTCATTTCAATAATCAAACTCATTTAATTAAAGCTTACGTTTTCCCTGAAATATTTCCTTCGCTAATATTAGGTGTTGACTTTTGGAGAAAATTTAATCTTTTACCTAGTGTTTTATCTTCTCTTCACTTTACAGAATCTAAATGTTCTGCTATCGAAACTAAAGTTACTAAAGTTTTACCTTATGAGCATTTAACTCCTAATCAAAAGAACATCGCTAATGACATCATCCAACGCTTCAAGACAATTTCTTTTGAAGAAAAAGGTGTCCTGGGATGCACACACTTAATCACCCACAAGATTGACACTGGTGATTCTCTTCCAATCAAACAAAGATGTTACAGACTGTCTCCTGAAAAACAAAAGGCGTTAATTAATGAAGTTGACAGGATGCTGCGATGGAACGTCATTGAACAATGCGAAAGTCCTTGGTTATCTCCAGTTCTCATCACTCCGAAGAAGAATGGTGAATGGCGTTTCTGCGTAGACAGCAGGAAGCTTAACTCAGTTACACGTCGTGATGCTTATAGTCTGCCACTAATAAGCGAAATTTTGGACAACTTGAGGAATGCCAAATACTTATCAAGCATCGACATTGCGAAAGCATTTTGGGAGATTCCCTTGAATCCTGCTGATAAGGATAAAACTGCATTTTATGTACCTGGAAGAGGTATGTTTAGATTCAAGGTAATGCCTTTTGGTCTTTCTAACTCACCTGCAACTCTACAAAGATTAATGGATATGCTTTTTACCCCTGAATTTGAGAACAAGGTATTTTGCTATCTGGACGACATCGTTATCATTAGCGAGACTTTTGATGAACATATATCACTCCTCATGAAAGTCCATGAAAAACTTTCATATGCTAATCTGACTATTAACTTTGAGAAGAGTCAATTCTTCAGGAAAGAACTGAAATACCTTGGTTTTCTAGTGGACGAGTACGGTCTACGTGCTGATCCAGATAAAATAAAAGCTATATTAGAATATCCTGTACCTACTTGTAGAAAAGAAGTGCGAAGATTCATAGGCACCTGCAGCTGGTTCAGAAGATTCATTCCAAACTTTAGCACTATTGCCTCTCCACTCAATCAACTAACCTGTTCCGGGAAGAACGCTCCTAAATTTCTTTGGAATTCTCAAGCTGCAGCTGCTTTCCAGAAACTTAAAGAAGCTTTGGTAACCGCTCCTGTCCTTGCTTGTCCTAACTTCGAACTACCCTTCTCTGTACATTGTGATGCATCAAACTATGGCATAGGAGCAATGCTTACTCAACATCAAGATGACAAAGAAGTCGTGATTGCTTACATGAGTAAAGCACTAAACAAAAATCAACAGAACTACTCAACTACTGAAAGAGAAACATTGGCTGTAATAACTGCGTTAGAACATTGGCGATGTTACCTAGACAATGGTAAAGAATTTACAATATATACTGACCATGCTGCACTTAAATGGTTTCAGAACTTATCGAATCCATCAGGAAGACTTGCTCGCTGGACTTTACGCTTATCTTGCTTTAACTTTGTCCTGAAACATAAAAAAGGAAAGGATAACGTTGTTCCAGATTTATTATCAAGACATAAGAATCAAGAACGTCCTGATACACGAGAAATTTCACCTCAAGGCGTACACCCTATTACGATTGAAGAACCACCTGATCGTAAACTTGAGCACTACAACAAGATTTTTCTCGGATGCTCCAACAACCCAGACTCATATCCCAACTATACTATCAGGGATAACAAACTTTACCGCTGCATCCATTCTCCCGATCGTCTAAACGATGACTTTATTTGGAAAGAAGTTCCACTACCTCAAGATAGACATACAATTATTGAAGTTAACCATGGTTCCCCTTCAGAACTCCATCTTGGTATCTTCAAGACATTCAAGAAAATATCTTTAAAATACTATTGGCCTGGTATGTTTAAGGATATTGCCAATTTAATCTCAACTTGTGAAACCTGCTTAACCTACAAACACCCTAATCATTCTCCCTATGGTCTTATGGGTAAACCTAAACTTTGCTCCAGACCTTTTCAAACTATATCCTTAGATCTTATGGGTCCATTGCCTATGACTCGAAGACGAAATCAGTATATTCTAGTAATTAACTGCAATTTTACTAAATTTACTATGATTTTTCCCCTTAAACGTGCTACTTCAGCTAATATTATTAATGTTTTGGAAAATTCAGTTTTTCTAGTTCATGGCATTCCCCAAACTATTATAATGGACAATGCTGTTCAATTTCAGTCGCGAGAATTCCACTCATTCTTAAATTCTTATAACGTTCCTTTTATTTTTCACACAGCTTTATATTGTCCTCAGGTTAATCCTACGGAGAAGTTTAATAGTACAATTATTACAGCTCTAGCATCTCTAGTAGGAGACGATCATAGATCATGGGACAACCATCTTACTAAAATTCAGTACGCAATGAACAGCGCTACAAATGTAGCTACTGGCTTTACTCCAAACTTTTTAGTCTTTGGTAGGGAAACAATACCTTGTGGTTCCTTCTATACTCCAACTCAGAACCTCGAGGAATTAATATTTATGCCTCGTGATATTTACGCGTCTAATGCTGGTCTCCTCTCATCTATCTTTCACAAAGTTCAAACTAAACTTCACATAGCGCACGCTAAAAATAGCGCTCGCTATGATCTTCGCCGGGTTTTTAAAGAATTTAATGTGGGAGATACTGTTTGGCGTAAAAATCATGTTTTAAGCAATGCCGGCGCATACTTTAATGCTAAACTTGCCCCTAAGTTCATCAAGTGTAAAGTGATAGCTAAACTGTCACCACTAGTCTATGTACTTGAAGACCCTAATGGAGTTAGAGGCAAGTGGCACATCAAAGATGTAAAATCATAAATTTTCTTAACTTTTATTAACTATTAATTTGTATATATGTATAAATATCACCATCATTCTCACCTTATTCTTTTATTTCTTTTAATTTGTTTGTTTGTTTGATGATCCAGTGTTCTTCAACACATCTTGCTTTAGGACCTCGAACTTTCGTTGGTTAATCGTCACTTTTTATTTTTATTTCA